ATCCTTTTCTCGGACTGGGACTTGTTCATATACGTTCTTGGCAGATGATCCAGAGGTGGTTTGCCATTGCCTTCTTCTGTTTGTGAATGGAGTAATTGTTGGGATGCCACGGAGGAAAACTCCGTGTTGCCTAGACCACGGCCTTGCCCAACACAAGTTATAAATTCGGGCACCGCCGGGAATCGAACCCGAGACCCCCAGGATTACAAGGCCAGCGTTCTAACCGCTAGACCACCGTGGCCGTAATATCAGTAGCAGTGGCCAAGAATGTTTATCGTGTTCAGTGGCTTTAGATTGTGATAGTTCTCGCGAGGCTTGAAAGGATTGTGTGTTGTGCTCCCATTTTTGAAGGACGATCACTTTGTTGTAAGACATTTAGCTGTGGTAAAAGTTTTTAGAAAATTAAAATTAATTTAATGTTTTAAGTTGTATAGAAATGTAATTGTTATATTTGTGGCTTTATGGTGATAATTATCTGGCATTAAAACATGTAGTTGAGTGTTGCTGTTGTAACGGTGTATGCAACAATTGATTTTATGTTTATTAATTTATGTGCAGAACTTGGATGCTACTGAACTTGTAGTTAACAATCCCAGTTCGTACACAAATATTCTGACCTTTTTTTTTTAACCTTAGACTGAGGGCAAATTCCGGGATAGTACCGTAAATTAGGCAACGTCCGGTTCCTTCCACATCCTTTCCAATTCATTATTCACCAATTGTCCCGTCGTTGTACCGTGTATAATCTGTTGTATTTACAGCGTCATTAAACAAACCACAAATAAATAAACATGCTTCAGTGCAGTAGAAGTATTTGTAGGTGATTAAATATTGAGCTTATAAAGACCAAATTCTATTTAAAGCATTTTACGATGTGGCAGATAAGTATCAAAGCGCGATGGTGGGTCTGGGTCTGAATAGGTCCGCAACAATGTTACTTACTGTCAAAACCCTAATTGTGTTCCGTTAATAATGTCTTGTTTAGTCACTCCAGGGTTTAAGTGCATTAGCTGTTGAGTTCGTTTCAACAATAGGCGAAGAAGACTTGGGAAATCGATTTATATCGAAAGTAACATACTTCTTTATGTGAAATAACTGAGTAATTCCAGTGAGTTGTATACAGAATTGAAAGGGAAATTATTTCTGGCTATGAATAGCTTTGCTACAACGGGTTCTACACGCCGATCAATGTCAGAACGTCGTATATTGTGTTCCATCAGTAATCTACAGAATTTTGAGTACACTTTCTACTTAATTTGACTTTCCAGAGTTGCCACATATCTAGATGGGAAAAATGTTTTTTTTTAAAGTAAATGAAATTCAAGGCTAGCGAGTTGGCAACGTTGAGAAGGACGCATATGGAACGTGTTTTTGTTTTTTTTTCAGAGTACGCCTTTTCGTTCTTCATCTACGTTCTTTCATTTATGATTTCGCCGTTACAAAGAAGAAACGCCATAATGTACACTGTATGGCACGTGCCATTACGTCACCGACGTTAGTGGACTGTAATAGGTACACATGCACTGCCATCTGTCGGACTTCTTTCGATTATGTGTAACGGACTGCAAGCTGTATTTCTGGTTTTATAATTTTGCTTGTTACACTGTATCGTCCACCAACACCACTACTCTGTTTTAGTTTACGTTACGTATTTAATTATTTAACTAATTTTATTGTAATCGACTTCAACGAAAATGCACAGGCAGTCCAACGCTTGTGCGGGAAGCGTTCGTTTAGTGAACTACCTTTCTTGTCTTTAAACCATTTTCGTTCTGTTTCAGGTCTTAATAAAATCAGTGTTTGTTCCACTTCACACGTGTTAATTGTTCTCGGATCGCACCCGTGCGTTTCTAAACGCTTTGTTAAAGGAAGGCCGTATCTCCTGTCACTTAAGCTTCCATTATTCACACCCTTTCCTGTTTATTTTACCGAAGAGTATTTTGGTACGTGTTTCCAATTCGGGTCGATAAATCACCACAGAGTAAAAGGTGAAATTCCAGTTAATTGCGGTGGGGAAGGTTGAATATTGACGTCAGTTTATGGGACTGTTGTTTCGTGGCCAGTCACAAATCGTTGTGTGAAACTCAGAGTAGCTCATTATATTTTCATTTTTAATTATAAAAGAAAATAGAATTAAGCTTCAATCATATTATAAAGCTTCTTTCTTCAGTGATAAAAAGATTCGTCTGTTTACTTCGCCATGTCTGCCCGTTGACATGTAATAACTCGAGAAGGTCTGAACGAATATTAACGAAATTTTGTATTGGGGACTTTTTTTTATTAATTACTGATATATACCGACATTTTTTACTATTTTAGTTAAAATGTGACCGCAATACCGCTCTGCACAGGAAAACTTATATGTTTTTCTGCTTACCACACAATCCCCCAACCAGCAGCACAAGCGCGTGGAGGGGGGAATCCTTGATGACGTCATGACGCCCCACCCATACAAAGGTTGTGGGTTCTAAACGTCACTGTCAACATTACCATAGTACAAATTGCGATAAACACGTCAGAATTATTGTACTATTTGTGCATTTTAAAACTTTCTGTTTTGTTCAAATTAAAATAGAGAATGATTTTACATTAGACCTAATTTAAAGATTGTGGAGAAATTTTCTATGCGCGTCAAAGCTGGATTCTGACATTCATGGCGGCTAGATCGATTGTACATCCAACGATACTCGCGATGCGATTGCTTCCAAGTGTCCCAAAAGGTTAACCGTGCCAACTGTGTCGAGAAAAAAATGTTTTAAAATAGAATTTTGCAGTAAGCGTTGCATATTAAACATGTGTTGTGTGAGGCAAGTCTGGGCTATAATGCCCTAGTGTTTAGAACATTGCGTCTATTTCCGATTGCCGCTGGCGAGAGGTCTTGGCGAGAATATCGATGTTCGTAAATTGTGAAATACTTACGTTTTAAAATAAGGCAGACTTCTGGGTTGTTCCGCCGTGTAGTCTGGTAGAAGTTAACCAAGTTTCAAAAGTATCGTCCTGATGGTGGAGGCAGCAAGGACCTCTGAAACATCGGTAAACTCCTAACAGACTACACGGCGCAACAACCCAGAAGTCAGCTATCTTCATTTTCATCGTCGTTAAAACCGCAAATCGTATTCGTTGAGATGTAAGGACATGTAGTCGGTGTTATTGCCAAACCTTTTCATAATTGCATAAATCAGTGGTATTCAACCTTTTTTGTTCTCGTACCCCCAGATATAA